AGCTATTTTCGCTGGTTCCCAAACTGCATGAATTTAAGCGTGTTATTAGGCTGACATCTCAATTGAAACTGTTAAATGTAGCCGTCTCTTCTACTCCAACAGCTTCATGTCTCGCACTTCCCATCTGTGGAACTCCCTTCCTCTTACTTGCTTCCCTGACAGTTACAGTTTTCAAATATTCAAATGTAATGTCAATCGACATCTTCTGATGCTTTGATCTAATTCCGCGTCCTACCCTTTATCCATTCCTCAATCACGTTTCTTCACTCTTGCTCCCAGTTTCTGGAACCCCTTGCATGCTAGTGGCACTCCCGCCTTGCTTAGGTTGAAATGCTTAAAAAAAAAGAAGTGGAATTTCCACAGGTATTTTTATAGTCGTGAAAATATATCCTGAGCGTATTCAATTATTAAATTAAGGCATGACTCGTCAGAAAAATCAAAATTTAGGAAAATCGTGAAATTTTCGCGGATAATTCTAGTATATTAAAATCCATACTTGAGGTCTTGTGTAAAATCTAAGTTACATTTAATAAATAACAGGGCACCTCGAGGTGTTAGAATGGCCAGCAAGATTCTTTCGGTAGATCAATTACGACTGATGACTGATTTCGCTACTGACTGGGTGCGCCATACTTGCTTCCTTGGGCCACATCTAATCTACGCTTAGTAAACCACGAGGCACCTAGGCGTGATGTAATAGTTAGCAAGCTTGTCTATCAAAAGAAATTACGACTGAGTAATGAGTTCAATTCAAATTGGGTGTTCCATACTCGCAGCCTTGTACCACATCTAAGCTTTGCTTAGTAAACCATTCGTCCATGTTTAGAATATTGATGCCTCATATAGTAGGGTGCTCTTGCTATTTACAGATACTTGATAAAATCCAAGAACAATCAGCAATATTATAGGTCCTGACCTGGCGTCTCAGATTCACTCACTTTCCCACACCGTAAATTTGCTTTCCTGTGTTTTTTCTATAAATACTTTTATGTTAATTGTTCGGGTGAACTCTACGCTATGGCACCTAGACTTTATGAAGTTAATCGAAGTACTAGATTAGTAACAAGGTCTCATCCGTTTACAGTTGAATTTTCTATATGTAACCGTAAGTTCTATGCTAACAGTATCTTCTATCTTCACGTTTCCGATCACTTATAATCTGCAAAAATTGCAATGTCAATCGTTCGTTGTCCACTGATTACTCTTCTATTGCTCTCTCTTGTTCATAATGTTTCTGTTTTCGAATTCTTTCATACCCAGTAACCCTTTGAGTCTTTACTACTTTGCGCACGCGCGCGCGTGTGTGTGGGGGGAGGGGTAAATTCCATTTAAACATCAATATAAAACATTTACTTTCACAATACGCCTTTTTTTTCATTGTTAATAATGAAAATTATGTTCTCGACAAAAGGACTTTGTTATATTATTACATGATAGCAGGATTTGATCCACAAATATATTTTCTAAACGAGTGTGTGTGTGTGTGAGAGGGCGAGGGAGAGAGAGAGAGAGAGAGAGAGTCCTTGTAAAAATGTATATGTATGTATGTAAGTATCACTTGATAGTAATAATCCTTTTGACTCTCTCTCTGGGATTTTTAAGTGTCCGAAGCATCAGGGACAGTGAATGAAATTCTTTCAGCGGCTGAGAGAGAGAGAGAGAGAGAGAGAGAGAGAGAGGGGAACATATTGTGGTAAATAGATAAGGATATTTCAAGTGGTTCGCATAGTACAGTATTTACATTAGTCGGACTATTGTCCTCATCTTTGTCGCCATATTTGTCACAACGTTTCGGCCGTTGTACGCTCCGGCCTTCTTCAGGTGGTTGGAATTTCGAACTGAACCCTTTATTTCGATCACTGGGGTAGACTGTTCTAGTTCCACGTGCCATGTTTTGATGGATGTCAGTTATCAGTTATCTCCTGCTAATTTTCCCTCTGAAAACCAGGTATTGAACTCACCTTCTTTGGGTCTGTCACTGGATCTAACCAACGCCTTTATCCACTGTGCCATGTGTCCTTGAGGACATCTGGGTATGAACTTCTGAGTATTATAAACCTAATGTTTTCAGCATCATTTTTACCAGTGCTCATATTGCAATTTTACCGTTATCATTGCATGTCTTTACCAGAGTTCATATTGCAATTTTGTTATCATTGCTTTTCTCTGGCACTCCTTATTACTGGTTCCCATATTGTATTTATTTCTATGCTTGGTCGGCTCAGGAGATTTTTGTGGCCTAGCATATGTGCTGATTCCTTAAATTTACGAATTTTCCAATGGTGTTCCCTGTCTATGATCTCGACATGATCCCACAGGGGGCGGTGATCTCCCTTCTCTCTCCATATGTGGTCAGCCATGCCTGATTTTTCTACTTCCCCTCGCGTTACAGATTTCTGGTGTTCTTGAAGCCTTACCTTGCGTACAACGGCCGAAACGTTGTGACAAATATGGCAACAAAGATGTCCGACTAATGTAAATACTGTACATAATATCTCATCTCAGAAATATAGACAGGTTCGCATAGTATTTGAAAGTTCAATCCCTGGGCCGGGTAGCATAGATTCACTATGTACTAAATAAGAACTAGACGAGTTATCCCAAGACATGGACAACGAAATGAGAGTAATTTACGCTTATAGATTAAATAAAGTGTTGAGTTAGAAATTTCCTGAAAGTTTTACGAAATGTTTTGATAACATCAACAAGGATTAGGACATTAGTCCCATTGTAAATAATCAAATTAATGCTAAATTCTTGTCTCTGAGATTCAGGCCAAAATTGGAGGTAATAGAAACGAACAATGTTATCACATGTGTTCTAATGCTTCTGCTGTATTCTTGACAAAATCTAAAATAGAATCGGCAAGGTTATCGGTCCTGACCTGGCATCTCGGCTTCAGTCAATTTTCCACTGCTGTAATGTACCTTCCCTTTGCCTCTTATATAAATATTTTCACGATAATTGTACTTATGAGCTTTCTTCGTTAGTACCTCGACTTTACGAATTTAAGAGCAGCACTAGATTGGCTACTAGGTCTTATCACTTAACTGTTTAAATGGCTCGATATAACCGTAAGTTTTATGCAAATAGTTTCTTCTCTTGCTTGCGAAACTCTGTCCGGCTTCTAGCTTTCTTGTCAACTACGATCTCCAAAAAAAAAAAAAATGAAACAATGCATCTTCCGTCACCGTGAATCATGTTCTTTTATTGTCCTCCTTGTTTCTTTCACTCTCAGCAGCTCTTTGCATCTTAGTGGCTTTATTGCCTTGCTTGAGGTGAAATGATTAAAAAAGTAAAAATCATTTGATATCTATAAAATGTATTTTGGTCCTTTTAATTTTTAATTTGGTCCAAAGAAAATTTATGTATCTGTCAATTCGGGAATTTAAAACAATTACACGATTCAACGTATTGCTGGAATGACATTTTTTTTATTCTATATGAATAACGAAGTTTGTGCCTATGTTATTGTTGTGGCATACCTACGGACGATAATGGGTATGCCCGATTCACACAAATACAGTAGTAAATACTGTATGTTGATCTCCAATTGGAGATTCATCTCCAGCTGTGCTGGTCAAACTCGCTGCCTCTAGGATCCCCAGACGAGGTATACGGGGAATTTTTGGCCTAGCCTACGGGCTCGGATACCCACATTATATTCGGCCTTGTGCCACATCTGCGTGGGGAGGTTGGTATATATCCCGCCGTTGGGTATTCGTCTCCAGCTGTGTTGGTTAACTCTCTGCCTCCAGGCAGAGAGGATTCCCAGACGAGGTTCTGTCGAAGGGCAGAGTCTCGTCCAGGAAAACAGCTACCAGATCCCATTTTATTCGATGTCTAGGGCGAATTTTTGGCAAAGCCTACGAGCTGATACTCTACATTAAATTCGACCTTGTGCCACATTTGACTGCGCGAGGCGTTTGGTAGATATCCTACAGTTGGAGATTGCTTGTGGAATTCAATTGGCGCACTTCTAGCAATTGACTACTTCTACGCACCGCTGGCGAATCTTATATGTGTTGTTCGTGTCCTAAGTATTATCATTCATTACCAACCTTCGTTTGATTATTCAGTAGCCTTTCTTAGGATACAACATTTATGTCCAACAGGTGTGTACTGGAGTTCATTTTATCTTTAATGAATCCCACATCACATTCCCAATATTTAATTATTGCAATTATATGTGTTGGACGAAAAATTGTACCTCGGATTTGATATAAGTTTTAAACAAAATGGTGAAGAAAGTGATTGAAATAAATTTATGCATGATAATGAGAGATTCTGTTTAAAGATAAAGGCCCACACTTTGGGTAATTTCAAAAGCGGGTAAGATGTGTAATTATATTTTAAGATAATGATGAAATATCTGTATTTTAAAATAACTCTAAATGAGAAGGGTGATTATATTTAACAAGTGGTAGTGAAATGGGTGATTATATTTAATAAATGATAGGATGGGTGAATATATCTCTTGAAAAATGGTGATAAGATGATTAATTATATTTAATGACAAATGATGATAAGATGGGAAAGTGACTGAAACTGAGACGCCAGGTCAGTACATATAATATTGCTGATTCTTCATGGATTTTATCAAGTATCTGTAAATATATAGCAAGAGCACCCTACTATGATTGCATTTAGTGATAAACGGAGATAAAATGGGTGATTAAATTGAATGATAAATGGTGATCAGATGGGCGAATACATTTTGTGGTAAATAGTTTATTTATTAACTGATTCGTTTTGTACGTTTTACCAACTCTTTGCAGGTTATTTAAAGCCAGAAAAATATGGTTTAGGCTGTAGGTATTTTTGGAGATAATAATGACTTAGTGTTACGAGTTTTAATAATTAACCCATAGGTGGAGGGGTGAGGAGGTGGGATTCATGTCTTTCCCAATTGCATTTGCATGAAAGGGAATATAACAAACCCAACTAGTACTGGAACTCACGTCTCCGATTAACAATGTCAAGCCACCGTTACACCACCTGCACTTGGTATTCCTAGGCGGTCACCCATCTAGGTACTGACCAGGCTCAGCGTTGCTTAACTTCGGTTATCGTACTGGAACCGGTGTTTCAAGGTGATATGGCCGTAAACCGATGAGATGTATGATCATAATTAACGATAGAGGCTGATGAGAAGAGGGATTAGATTTAATGATTAAGGAGGATTAGAGAAGGGCTTCTGTTTAAAAATGATGGCGGCCTTAAATAGATTTAGAGTCAATTTTTTTTTTTTTAAAAATCATGATAAATCAAGTTTAATTTAAGATATGAAACTCATAAAATATCTTTGTCAACGGCAATAAAGAGCGAACCGACTCAGCGTCTTTCGTATTCTGTCAACTTATAATAAAAGTTCCACAGTTCTCGCATTTTAGATGTTCGGTGGTCGCAGACAGACATAAACTGATTCTTATTTCATCAATATGCAAATATACATCAGGTCAACTGAACAATGCGGATCGAATCCAGAATCGAATAAAAGAATCCAATATTGACATTAGTTTTTATCGACATATTTGCTGCACGCCTCTGTAATAAAATGGATATTGGTTGGGCCCGGCCATCTTTGGTGCAAGGTCGCACGTGTAATATAATTATCGTAAAAGTAATGAAAAAAGGTTTGATGACATTTAATAAATTTGTGCTATTCTTTTCATCAGTCCCATATCGCAGTGAGTCATCTTTTCTCTGGGAAGCATAAGAATTATAAAAAATAAAAAAATATAAGCGGACACAGTTCGAACACTAGTTGGAGCAGGGTTAAATTTGAGTTCTGTCCAGAAAGTATCCCGCGGTTTTATTTAAATATCATGTTCCTTCAGAACGTTGGCGAACATGGTTTTCCATTTTTTTTTTTCAACTAACTTCCTGGGAAAGATAATGGAGTAGTTTCTCGATTGTTTTTCCGGAGTTTAAAAAAATCTTTTAGCGTGTTTGTCAAGCAAAGCTAAATAGCCCAGTCTACACTGCTATTTTGCCTATAGCCAGAAGTAAAAGAAATAGATTCCGGCTTTTCTCCAATGAATGATTAGTCCAGAATTTGAACTCGGCTCGCTAATTTCACTTTCAGCGCCATAACCGTTCCATTAATCGCATATCCCATCCAGCGATTTAATATAAATTAATACCGGATATAGAGCCTTGTTTTGGTTTATTGTGTTTTACGGAATATCAACCTCAATGGGTTATTAAAAGCCGGCCAAATTTTTAGGATAGGTTCATATGAACCGATTATGTATTCTTTGTAAGAAATCAGTTTGTAGATCTGGTTTAATTGACGTATTTTTGTAAAGGGGTTTTTGCCGAGAGTCAAATGTATTGCTGGTAATATATATTTTTTTAAAATATAGCTGGTAATTTTTTTCAAATATATATTGCTGCTTTTTTTTTTTACAGTAAAAAATTATTTTTATGTTTTCATTTTGTTTTGACCCCAGTTTGGGAGTTAACTATTTGCCCATAGCTAGGTACCCTAATAGATGCTACCACCCCTGGTCAGTGTGGACCTGGGGACAACAGCCATTAATAGGTGGTTCCTCGCTCCTCAATCTCCTGATCGGAGGCTTTGCTGCCGGGTGTAGTTTATCGTCATACCCAGGACAGTCAGTCAGTTATGTGTCATGCGTGATAGATGCTTAGACGATCATGTATCTTTCGATACATGATTGAAGAAGCAGATTTTTTCCCCGCAGTAGGTTGCCATCCAAGGCTGTCCTGCTATTTACCCATAGCTGGGAGGGGGAGGAAGAGGATTCATAGAGTCAGAATTCTTTTGCTGGTCAGAAACCATTAAATTTAACCTTTCAAATTGATTTGTTATTTTACGCCTTACCAACCGTTTGTGAGTTATCTAAAGCCAAGCCAAATTCTGAGTTTATTTACACTATTTAAAGAGTCAAGTTCGAATTCTTTACATTTACTTACTAATACGTGCTAATAGCTTTGGAAAAGGCATGAATTCACCTCTTCTTCATCCAGATATGGGTAAAATAGCAGAACAGAGTTATATAGCCTTGGATGGCAGCCTGTCTAGGAGAAGGAAAGTTCTGAATTTAAACTAGCCTGAAGAGGGTTTGGCTCCGCCAGGTATCTTGCCAATACACGCGGGTTACAGGAGTCGTGATCATGATAGTTGAACTATTGTCCTCATCGTTGTTGCTGCTATCAACATATTTTGAGTTGTAAGAATAATTATTTTTTGTGAGTGAATATTAAATTGACGTTTTTTTTTAGGCAACAATGATTTTTCCAGATACCAATCTTACTATTTAACCCAAAGCTGGGGAGAGAAGAGATGCATTCATACATTTTTTGAGCGTAAGTGAATGTAATGAACTCAGTTTTCTCATTCCGAGCCGGTATCCATGACACCACCTGCACATCCTACCTTTGCAGAACTAAACTTGCTTGGATTTGCGGCTGGAATCATCATTCTGAGTAAACATAGAGTTTACATCTTAGTATCTGTTGTGGTAGGATCCACCTAATTTGCATAGTGGAGTACCGACCATATAAATATGGTTGGTACCGGGAAGACGAGGGGAGGAATCAAGAGATTCAACCCGAGACTCTGCCCGACTGCGACTCAGGCAACCCATTCTCCAGGAACGGTCTTACCAGGAATATACAAAAGACTATATGTAAATATTGTGTACACTTTCTTGTTTCAATACATTTTGTTCTAAGTACCTTTTGTATTGCATTATTATTCCATGTATTAGTCAAGTTTCAACAGTATTTGATCTTGCCCCAGGACCGTGCCGCAGGCATCTATATCCAACAGTTCATCAAATTTATTGCAGGGTGTGTGGCATCTTTTTTTTTTTTTTGTCAATGGACATCTTTAGGCTAAAAATTACTTTAGTATTGTTGCTGACTCCATGAAGTACTGATCACTTGGAGAGTTTAGAACATCATCCTTTTTTTATGTTCTTATCAGAGAATATCTTAATAGTGGGCCCATAATTCCTAACTTACCTGGACTCTTTCAAACTTGAAGCACTTAAATAAAACTTAGCACCCTGATGAATGATTAAGTCTCAGGTCGTCATACACAGCGGTTCTGACGGTGCTGGTTCTATTTCCACTCAGCGGCTATCATAGAAGTTAATGTTATTGGTTCCTTTGTACTTTTAGTTTTAAGGATATAAAGTCCTGATTCTGCGCCTTGCTAACTTCAGCGATCACTGTCTTCCTCTAGATGACAATGTCTTGAATTTCTACATAATTGGGCAAGTCGACACCGACCCTCGCGTCAATCTGTGCAAGATTTTTCCGTTTGTTTTTCATTGAAGCCATTTTTCACAATATGCTTGAGAAAAGAAGGTCTATATTAATATCAGTTTGCTTATTCTTTGTTGCGCGTTCGGTTTCATCATCTTGTGTAGTTGTTCGTGAGAAATCTAACTTAAATTTTGCTACAAAAAAAAAAGAATAAAAAAGCAAACAAACAAAAAAACAAAACAAAACGGAAATACATTTCATACACCCTAATCGAACCAAACAGGTTTTTTTTTTCTTCTTTAGCTGACTTATATTTTATAATGTGTAAAGAAAGATGTGCAGAGATGCACATAACTAATAACTGGCCGCTTTCAAAGTAAACGAATGAATATTCTAGAATCAAATAGGCATCTCATTATTGACACCATGTTTTTTTCCGTAACAATGGGAGAATGTAGGTATAGATATACACGTATGGTAAAAAAACTGCTTCTTTTGAAATAGACGGAATATTCTAGAATCAAACGCGCTTTTCGCCGTTTATACCATGTTTTCCAGTGAATAGGAAAAAAAAGCAAGGCCAAGTGTACAGGAATAAAATATTTTAAAATAAACAAACGCTTACATTAGAATGAAGCAGTTGTATCATTATCATGTTCTTCTACAGATAGTTAATGAACATAGACATTCACAGTCTATCCTAGAGATTTATAATTCTACCATTTGGCCATGCTTTGAATACTGCTGCCACATATGTTCTGGTTTGAATATTGTTGCCACATATGTTCTGGTTCTGTTCATATTCTTCCAAGAATATGGCTTCAGCACAGAACATGCCTATAAATCCTTTTTTCAGATTATTATGTCTACATCTCAAAAGTACATAATTCTGCCTATATTTTAGTGTACCAAATACTAGTGCCAGCATGTTTGTTTTAAAAATTCATATCCCTTGGTATCGCGCTTATTTGATATAAGGCTTTTATTTAAGGCTTACTTATAAAATAATTTTCTCTGCAGCAAAATTACTATTTTTTGTGTGTTAAATTTATATAAAATTTCTGGTAGAATGTTTATTTGAATTTGCACATTTACAAGTTGAAAAATTCCAACCTCTATGAGCATTCCAGATGTCAGTTGTATTTGGTACAACACAGTACAACCTGTCGTGTTTCAGTGATGAAAAGCAGGAAGGAGAGACGTGTAATACATTGTTCAGTTGTTCTTTCTCACTAGTGAGGGTTACATGAATAGTGATAAAACTGAAATTATTTACCAGACAATCTGTTTACAAGAAGCTTTTTATCCTGTAAACATTGTACTGTACTTCATCATTGATAATGCAACTCCGGAAGAGGAACGGACTCTGCCAAAGACACATCCCTTGCTGCTATATCCCTTGTTGTTATATATTTAGAGATTCTTGATAAAATCCAAAGAAGAATCTGTTTATTATTGGTTCTGACCTGGCATGTTAGCTTCAGTCACTTTATCACCGCCGTAAAGTAGCTTTCGCTGTGACTTTTCAATAAATATGTTGAGGGGTCCACCCCTTTTTACACAAATGGACTCACCCAGTATATACATATACTATTGTTACGAGAAGAGACGAGAGTAAAACGAGAACAAGACCTCGGAGTCGAGTCGAGTCCAGAGTGACAGAGTAAAAGGTTTCAGGTAACCGGAAGAGTGAGGGTGAGGTAACAGCGTTCGTAGGAGTCACAGTGAGCGAGCACGTAGACTCAGTAAGAAGTCATACAGCGATACTTCAATACCAAAGACTGTATATATATATATTTTTTGCTACTAACCCGTATTCCTGGAACTACTAACCTGCTTTACCAGTTTGTATTATTACGTTAATACA